TAAGTCATGAAGAAATCAATAGCAATGAGACTGTAACGATCATAATGCTAAGCTAACGGATGGGTCATGTCCATCACATCATTCTCCTAATGATGTGATCCCTATCATCAAATGACAACACATGTCTACGTTTAGGAAACATAACCATCTTTGATTAACGAGCTAGTCTAGTGGAGGCATACTAGCTACAATATGTTTTGTCTATGTATTCACACATGTACTAAGTTTCCGGCTAATATAATTCTAGCATGAATAATAAACATTTATCCTGAAATAAGGAAATAAATAATAACTTTATTATTGCCTCTAGGACATATTTCCTTCAAACAGTCCTCCACTACCAGATCAAGCATCAGGAGGGAGCGCGCGTGTATACATGTATATATGTAGAAGTGTTTCTACTTTTCTACCATTGACTAGGCCATAGAAGTGTTTCTACCTTTCTACTATTGACTAGGCCATAATTGGCTAATCAGGTATCAACACTTCAAGGAAAGCTTACTTGCCAGCCACCTGGGAGATCCAGGAATCACAAGAAGGCCAACCAGCTACATTGAGCACGGTATCACTACTTCAAAAAAACACATAGCATTCATTTATACATACCAATAGTCCAATATGCACGGTATCACTCCAGATGTTAGATTGAAACAGATACCAGTGAAAATTAGTGCATTGTCAATATGAGCAAAGACATACCAAGGAAAACATAATAACCATTTTTCTTTAACAAGATTGAGAAATAATGTATTACATGGAACTAACAAGTTATATATGAGAAGAAGCAACACAACAATCTTTTTTCATTCTAATTATAGTCATGTAAAATTCTGATTCTTTTTTATTCTCACTGTCTAGAAGCAACACAATTTTAAGCAAGTCGGAAGAAATAATCCATGCCGGTTTCATGCTGAATAGCACGTACAAGAAAACAGAAAGAAGTGTATGTTTTCTTATAAGACAATAATGTGGATTTCAGGGCCTATTAGATCGATTATGCATGTTGCTGTTTCACCTAACTAGGATGGAGCCTGAAGGATAATTCTTGGGCATTGGCAGCATGGTGAGGCACTGGAACCTGGTGTTGATGTGCTTCTAGAAGTAGTGCACCTAAAGAACATGATTTCACACTTCTTCAATTTCTCAATGCCACATAATACTACTATATGTGCCTTTTTTCTAGAAAACACACATAAAAATGTGTTCTTCTGAATTACAAGGCACCAAGATGAGAGTTAGGGGTTTTTTCAGGCAAAACAGCCTGGTGGGAGAGCAAGACGGAGATCACGCTGTGGTCCCGGTCATACCACCTCCCGTCGTCTTCATCATTCTGCAGGAACTCGTCGACCGGTTTGTCGCGTTCTCCCTCGGACTCGAGGCGTAGGGTGAGCCTCATGATGTGTTGTGCGGCGTCAAGCGCCGCCATGGCCACGGAGACGAAGGCGTCATGGCGGGAGAAGAAGAGGGCCTTGTCTTCTTCACTATAACCGTCATAGCGGTCGCGGTACTTGTAGTCAAGTTTTTGACTTTGTAATTCAGCTCCATTTTATCCTAGCTGGTTGATGGCTTCGTTAATCTGATGTCCGGCCTTCGTGACCTTTTTTTCTAAATAAAGCTAGGAGTGCTTCCGCTCTTACGTTGTGATTTTTGCAGAAAACCCCTTGTTGTTTTCGATTAATCAACTGGCAGTCGTATTTCTAGTGAGCCCAAAAATATTTTTGCTTTTGCAGAAAACCCCCTCATATTTTTGTTAACAACCCGTAGACCAACTAGAAAATAATGTTTTTTGGGGCAGATTAAAATGCTTTGAAAATATATCCATATATTTTAAATGCTAACTCTAATTTTTACATGTTATATATGGAAATTGATTAGAAAATTATGTAGAATTTGAATATAATGTTGTTTTACATGTTAAACATTTTTAAAATGTTATTCAGGGTGCAACCTCAATCAACACGCATGGTCCGTCTTTCTTTCATACCGGTGTAGATCCGGATTGAAAATCAACACCTCAATAAAATAATTTTGGGGAGAAAAGAAACCATCTATAACAACAAATGCACGTCTGGTCAAAACC